ACGTGGTGTTCGTTCGTTCTTTAACTGCTAACACAAGTGGAAAACCAGTACTGTTGCTATGGTTACCTGCTGACCAGCTGACATCCCATTGTGGCTAAACTTTGCTCAATGAGCTGCTAAAGTCATAGCTGTGTGCTAGCTAACAGTGTTTTCAGATTTATCAGTGCAGACATGGAGGAAGTGAAGCCCCGATCCTCCGTCCACCAGCAGGACGCCCAGCCAGGCCCGGGGCAGCATGGACGAGGGGGGAGGGGAACAGGACTCATCCAGACACCAGCTCATTCACACCACCACCACCACACACTGCGAAGCCACAAGGAAAAGCTGATGTCTGCACATCTCCATCCAGGTGAAGTAGCCCTCAGAGTGGACTTCTCTAAGGGGTTCCTGAAGATGTTTCTCCTTCATCCAAGAGGCTTCTTCAGGCCTAACTGACTGGTGGGGAGTCCCAGGTAATGACCTGCTCATGAACCAAGACCCTCAGACCTCCACGTCTCTCAGGACGGCGTCGTTTTACCTGATGGTGGCGCAGCAGAGCCGACTCTGTTCAGACATTATTCCAGATGTGACATCAGTCACAGCAGCAGTTCTGCTGCTTTAGTCCTTCAGCTGTAGGAGACCACAGCTCATCCTGAACACTGAGGTCCATCTGGAGGTCATGAACCTCCACAGGTTGTGTCTGATCGCCACCGTAAGCTGCCTGACGTCTGAGTGACAGTAAACAGTACGAGGTTCGATGAGCAACGTCTCTGATCCCATCAGCCTCGGGTCATTGATGGTCATGTGATAAATGCCTGGACCTCCCCACCAGTCAGAGCTGAAGAAGCCTCTCAGATGAAGGTTGAGCATCTTGAAGAACCAAAACAGAGAAGTCTAATTGGATGATTAAATATGCTAGTGGACTTCTGTGATGAACAGAAAGTCAGATTCAGTGTCTTTATTTAAGATCTCAGTTTGATTTAGTTTTGATCGGTTTCATCTCTGCGAGTCCAGACGGAGTCCCGGGACGTCTTTAGCCTAGCTTAGCACAAAGACTGGAAACAGAGGCAAGCTGCTAGCCGCTCCATCAGATAACTCCGTGTCCTGTACCTCCTTCATGTGACTCTTCAGTGGAACCATCAGTTCTACAGACAGAACTATTTATTTATTCTATTCATGAAAGCATCTGTGCAACGTCAGTGTTCTTCTGCTGACTGAATAATTCTCTGTAATGAGATGGTTTTCCACATTGAGAGGAATCTGTGTCCAGATGTCTATACAGAAGAATCAGGACAATATGAACAGCACTCGTGTATTCTTTGTGTGTTTGTATATTTCTCCTTTGTTTCTGTGATGCTGCTAACGTCCCCGCTGAGGGACTAATAAAGTTTTATTCAACGCTAACACGTCCCGTACTCCCGTCGGACCGCGGACAGATGAAACCCGGTGAAGCGCTCCGTTGCGCTGAACAGAACCGTTTCCTTGTGACTCGTCCTCCACACCAGGTTTGAGAACAGCGAGACTCGAGCAGGCGACACAAACAGCACAGAGGCCCGTGGGCGCCGCGGCCCTGCTCGCCGTCTGCAGGCGCACAGACAGAAGCTCCGTGGTTAGAGGTGGGGAGTGTTAATGACGGGGAGGGGGGCACCATGCCATGCCGAGAGCTTCCATGCCAAAGCTATCCACCAATCAGCATACACCCCCACCTACCTGCCCACCGTCCCCCACCAATGGGCTGGCTCTGTCTACCTGTCTGTCTGCAAACCAACCAATCAGACCACAGAATGAGGACACAGAAGTAGAAGGACAGACTGACAGCGGCGCTTCCTGGAAATTTCGTCCTTTACAGTTCAGACCTGCAGGAGTCATTTATTATTATTCACTCTGCTGCTGCTTCATTTCCCACAATGCACTTGAGCCTCCAGGACAGTGGTGCCGAGGCTCTACAGGTTCAGCAGAACAATCAGTCTGGATGATGACGCTCATGTGGATCTGTTTCTGTAACGGCAGCTTTTCCCACCAGCTCTCAAATGATTAAATGTTGAAGTCTTACGGATGAACCTCAGATCAACGTTCTGCTTTCCTTCTGATTCCTGAACACACTGGAGCTGCTTTAAGCTCATCAGAATCTTTATTTAAACGCTCCAGAACTACTGTCCTTTGACTTCTACTGGTTCTTATTGTTCTGATGTCATTCAGCTTTGGCATCCCGTAATAAAGTCATGAATCATTAAAGCTCTGCTGATACGGGTGGTGTTGACCTGCCGACTGTCACTGACAGGCTGAGATTTAAAGGTTCAGAGTGAAACAAGCAGCAGAGCATCAAACAGACTGAAGCTGTTCTGGTTTCATGAAGACAACACATCAGCATAAACAAAACATGGTTTGTGTCTGTGGCATAAATCACATGAAGGGAAATCATCAGCAGCTCTTTGTGTTGTTGTTGTTGTTTACCTGTGGACAGCTGCGACTGGGACCTCCTCCTGGAGCTGCTGGGAGTTCTGGAGGCCGATGAAAGAGTCGAACCGGCGCTGCTGGCCCGAGAGATGGGGAGGGGGACGGGGGTCACCGGGGGGGAGTCCAGCTGAGGTCAGAATAAACCTTTATTTTATCATCTTTAAGGTTTAAATTTAAAAAAAAAATAAAAAATTATATATATATATATATATATATATATATATACACGTGTATGTGTGTTTTTTTCTCTAAATAATATCGGACCACAAGGAAAAAAAAGAGGAAAATTCAACCTCTAATTCAAGTTCATTTATTCAGTGTGAAAAAAATCCCACATTAAAAAATAATTCTTTTACATCAAATCACGTGTTCCACAATTATTAGCAATTAGAAGCGTTAGTTTAAAAACCAAAAAAAACTTTATTAGTATTTAGTAATTAAAATCTGATGTCCATGTACTTTCTTCTTCTTATCATTATTATTATTTTTATTATTTAGACCGGCTGTGAGCTGATGAATGTTTCCCATTAAAGGGTTTGTAATGAGATCTGATCAAGAACTTGTCGTGTGTTCAGGTGTTTAATGAGTAAATAAACACATTAGTTTTATTGTTGTTGTTCCAGACCGACGTTAATCGTGTAAATAAGACATGAATGTAAAGCTGCTGAACTCACTGCAGCTCTTCTGTTTCATGCTTTTACTTTGAAGCAGGTGTTAAACACTGAACAGGAAGTGACATCATTCGTTACCTCGACGCTGTCGTGGGTCGGCGACGACGACGTGGACGAGTTCTCGTGTCTCCTCGACGACGAGGCGCTGAGCTCAACGCTGCGAACTCTCTGAGCGAACTTGAGCGAGCAGACGGACTCGCTCATGTTGGCGGGGAGCGGAGACACCTGAGCAGAGAGAGGACGAATGAGGCGGCAGCTCAGAGCGGGCTCACCTGAACGTGTCGCACCTGGACTCACCTGCACCATCATGAGCGTCTTGCTGTCTCCGCTCAGGGAGTCCTGCAGCAGGTAGGTGAGCCGCGAGTTCCTGAACGGGACGTGGGCGTGTTTGCTCCGCAGCGCGTTGATGACGTCGCCGAGCGCCGACAGCGACTTGTTGATGCACTGAGCCTCTCTGAGCCGACTCCCTTCAGCGCCGGACTTCCCGATCCGCTCCGAGCCGGCCAGGTCCACCAGGTTCAGTTTACCTGCAGAGAACGAGCCAGGTGAGGACAAGACAACCAAGCACACTCACATTCACACCTACGGACAATTTACAATCACCAATTAACCTCAGCATGTTTCTGGACTGTGGGAGGAAGCCGGAGAACCCGGAGAGAACCCACGCTGCACGGGGAGAACATGGAGACTCCACGCAGGAAGATCCCGGGTGTCCTCACCGGGACGCCAACCGGCGGTTTTTAGAAAGTGGACGTACAGGATGTATTAGGAAACAGGGACCAGATGTCTGGAACACGTTCTAGATGTCATTATTTCACAAAGTGTCGATTCTTCAGAGTGACGACATCGTTTGTGGATGTTTTATTGAAAATGGGGACAACATTTGATGAGAGTTAACTTTTTTAATTTATTTATTTTAAACCATTTTTAAAATATTTCTGGCAAAGTGAGGACACGTCAAAGCTGTGGTTCGATAACTGGGGACATGCTTTTAGAAAGAAGGGATGTTTTCTGGAAAGCAGATATTCTTTTGAAAAGTGGGAACTGCTCTTGTTGAAATAAGGACCTTGTGAGGATGTTGTTTGAAAAGTGGGAGCAAACTATGAAACATGAGGACATCTTTACCAGACTGGGGACATTTTATTTATTTTATTTTAGAAAACGGCGACAATATTTGGGACATTTCTGGTAGGCAGGGACAAATTAGAAAGAACATTTTCTACAACACTGCTTTGTAAAGACGGGGACAGTTTCTGGGAAACGTGGACATGTTTTGGTCAGGTGGGAAGTTTTTTCCTGTGTTCCTTTAATGGGAACGTGTTTAAGTGGGTGTGAATGCTTTTCCTGTGAAGGGAGACGTTTAAAGTCGGGGTTTGTCAGTACAGATATTTGTTGGCTTCACCTTGCGTGCGGTTGCCCGTGGTGACGTTGAATCCGGACACGCTGATGATGAGCAGAGCGTGAGAGCGCGAGCTGTGTTCGTTCAGGTTGGTGCAGGCCGTGGCTCTGTTCATGTGGCCCAACTCAAACACCTGAGGACAGGTGACACACTTCAGTTCATTCAGCTGCAAACAAACAAGTTGTTCTGGATCCACTTAAAACACAAAACGACAAACTTCTGCACTGAAACAGGAACTTGAGCCGATGAGCTGCGTTCTTGGTTTGTTATTGTGCAGCTAAACCAGCTGAAGCAGCAGAAGTGAACTAGAACCTGAAATCAAACCGTTTCCTACCCGGTTGATGTCTTCTGGACTCTGAACCGTGATCTCCGTCAGCCCGGGAACATAAAGCTGTCCGCTGCCGTCAGGATTCATCTTGATGTCCAGTTTGTCGGTGGGATTTTCCCCGAGCAGGTTCCTGGAGGACAACAGAGAAGGTCAGAGCCTGCAGCCGTGACTGAGGGCTGAAAAACCCTGAAGCTACCTGCGATACGGGCTCAGAGCAAACGGACCAGAACCGATCCGTCAGAGGCTGCTGACATTCTGGAGATTAAATATGAACTAAAGTAAAACCTGGTTTCATGTTTCCAACTGATGAGCTCACAGATAATCTGAGTCTAATCCGACCCAAGTTCTGCCAGAGCGGCCCTCCAGATGTGGCGCCGTCAGCCAGATGTTCTGTTACACAACAGCTGGACAGAACAGACGACAGCTGCTGGGATCCACGTTTATGTAACCGACCAAATATCTGAGTCCAGAACTGTCATTTATTCTGACTCAGTCGCACAAACAGTCGCTCCAGCAGCAGGTGTGGATTCATCCGCCGCTGGAAGTAGTCCCACCTGCCTGCAGCAGATTCATCGTCTGAACACGACTCACAGAGATGATGGAAAGCAGCAGATCAAAGCTCAATAAAACAAACTGTCGTCCCAAAAACCAAACCGTGCAGATTTACTTCAGCTTCAACCTGATGCTCTGAGTCTTTAAACACCTTCATTAGGTTAAGTTGTTGTATAAGACGTGAGGTTCAGGTCCTCGCACGGCTGGAATCTGCAAAACTGAGACGACTTCACTGAGTTTAAAGTTAAAGTTCATCGTGAAGCTGCTGCTGGTTTAAAGCTGTAATTACATGAACTAAACTCAGCAGGTCGACGTTAACGCTTCAGTTAGTTCAGTTTTTACAACAACTGCTTTTACATCCAAACCCAGCAGGAGTTAGAAAGACCGCTTCTTACAAATCGGATTGTTTCTCAGTAATCTGAGCGTTTCTGCCTCCAGAGTCCTCAGTCTGAGCTACGTTTGGCGTGACTGCGTCGGACGGATCCGGCAGAACCTGAGCGTCTCAGGTGTTTCCTCACCGCAGCGTCTCGTTGTAGATCTCCACCATGCTCACGCTGATCTTATAGTCCCAGTCCGGAGCTTTTTCCGTCACCTCGGAGAACAGCAGCCGCAGAGCTCGCTGGTTGATGCCAGGATCCTCGGCCACGCCCTGAAACACAGAGGGGGCGGAGCTTACAGGTGTGAGGCTGAGGCTCGTTTACAGCACGGAGCTGCGTTATTGCGATATTCACAGACTACACAGTGGACCAGGTGGAGGTCCGGTAGAGTCTGAGGTCAAACACCAGGACGTTAGCTACGTCAGCTACGTCTGGTCTGATTTATTTCAGACAGCATCTGAAATAACACACAGAATGAAAAACAAACCAAACTTAAAGTGATGAAAACAAGCAGGATGCAGTGTAGCTCTCATGTCTGCCTGTTTGCTGTAGAGCTTTTATACGTCTGTAGAAACCCACCAACACCTCCACTGTCCCACACCATCACGTTCCTCTCCAGCAGTTCTATGGTGGTGTTCATTCTGAGGTCCAGACTGCTCCATGAGCTACACCAACTCATCGACTCTTCATGACGCCACGAGCAAACGGCTTTTCAAAACGCTAACGTCCTCCTAATTGGCGGCTGGATGTTATCAGGGAGGAGCTTCCTGTTTGCTCTGAACATCATTAGAATAAATCACTAAATCAGAATCTATGCGTGTTCTCGTTATCGGCCACATCACGTCACAGCTCGTTATGAATGTTTTACTGGATAAAACGCAGGATTCAATGAGATCCTCCTGCAGAGCAGATTCTCTTCTAATAACTTGTCACAAGTTTGAGCCTCTGACAGCAAACAGACGAGAACTTGTTCCACCCCTTAGACACACAAAGTTCAAGCTTCATTAAAGTGTTTCATCCCAGCTGGACCTTTACTGTGAGAGACTGTCTACAGGCAGTGGCTTAGTGAAGGCAGCTGGACGATGGACTCAGAACGCAGCCACAGTGAATCTAACTCCATCTGGACCATCTCTGTCAGTAGAACTCCAACCCAGCATCTAGCAAAGCTTCAACAACATCGAAACACAGAAACCAGGACCTAGTTTTGTTGACTGAATCCAGCCTCCTACCTCCATGGTGTAGGTTTTCCCAGAACCCGTCTGTCCGTAGGCGAAGATGCAGACGTTGAAGCCATCGATGCAGGACGTGATCAGCGATTGGACCTCCTGAAACACCTGACGAACCAATCAGAGAGGACGAGGGAGTCAATCTAAGAAGTCTGTGTGTAAACCTGTAAAGCTGCCAGATCCAGTAGAACCTCTGAGCTCTGCTGCTGTCAGCGTGTCCTCATCATACAAACCATGTTTACTCAGACTATCCTGCATAGGCCAGCGCTGCTACTGATGCTGTTATGCTAGCAGACGGGTCATGTTAGCTCAGGTTGTCTCTAGGAAGCTCCTGTTAGCTCCTGTTAGCTCCTGTTAGCTCCAGATAGCTCCTGGTAGCTACAGATAGCTCCTGGTAGCTACAGATGGCTCCTGTTAGCTCCAGATAGCTCCTGGTAGCTACAGATAGCTCCTGGTAGCTACAGATAGCTCCTGTTAGGTCCAGATAGCTCCTGGCAGCTCCAGATAGCTCCTGGTAGCTACAGATAGCTCCTGGTAGCTACAGATAGCTCTGCTTTCCATCTACTAGCTCCAATTGGCTTTTTATAGATTCCAATAACAATAAAAGCTCCACAAAGTTACGAGGCTGAAGTGAACAGAGGATAATAGGAGCCAACGGGAGCTACCTGGAGCTAAGAGGAGCAACAAGAGAGCTATCTGGAGCTAACAAGAGTAAAGAGGGGACAGGAATAAAAAGGGGACTATTTGTAGCCATCAGGAGCAAACAGGAGCTAACTGTAATTAACAGGAGTAAATAAAAAAAGAGGGACTAGTTGTAGCTAACAGCAGTAATCTGAAAACCCTGTTTCCGGGTGCGTTTCAAAATAAAAGTCCTTATAGGTGAGGCAGCCGTCACCTCCTCCTGCGTGGCCTGAGGGGCGAAGACTTTGTCCAGCTCGAAGGTCATGATCTTGCCCTTGTTGGCGAGGTAGAGGATGGCGTCGTCGTCCGAGTCGAAGCTCAGCATGGTTTTGGCGTCGGCGGAGTCCTGCTCCTCCTGACTGACCGGCCGGACGCGGCAGAAGACACGGATGTTACCTGGGAAACCAAACACAAGAACACAAGTGGGATCCTGGTTCTGGTTGGTTCAGTTCATCTGGACTCTGCTGCTGTGTTCTCAATACCAGGTCTCTGCTGCATTTACTCATTGATCCAGTAGGTTGGATTTTCCTCTCAGTCTCAGCTGAAGCTCTCTGGATGTTGGTTTTAACAGCGTCTGTTTTCTACAACTGCTTCATTCGTGCTTAAGTTTCACATGAGACTTGTAGAATAAAGTGGTTTTGATGTAATATCTGAATTAATCTTCCTGATTTATGTCAAACATGATTATTTAAGGACTGTCGAATGATATTTCTTTTAGTTTTACAGCTTCTGGCTAATAAATGAAGTCATTTATTGAAAGGAGAACGTGTTTGTTAAAGCAGCAGCAGGTCTTTCAGACAGTTAAAACGCATTGGAACGTTGTTTGAACATTGCTTTAACGTTGCAGCTTGCTTCGTACCTTTGAGTCGGACCAGTTCGTTGTGGCATTTCTTCCTCAGGTTCATCTCTCTCTTGTATTTCCGCAGCAGCTCCTGGTTGGCGCTGCTCACCTCGCCGATCACCTGGCAGATCTGAGGACGGCATTACGAAGGTTTTAGTCTCAACAAAACAAAACATCTCCAGACGTCAGTGTGGACATTCTATAATCCAAACACAGTAAGAGTAATGAAGGTTCTGTTGATCTGCGTGTCCGCCTGGTTGACCGACCCGGTCACACTGGGTCCAGGTGTGGACTCACCTCCTGCTTGGCCTCAGTGATGGCTTTATCCAGCATGAAGGGGAAGTCCTGCACCTGCCTCTTCAGACAGTTGTAGTCGCAGGTGAGCGTCCTGAGAGCCGGCTGCAGGCTCAGCAGGTTCATACGCACACCTGTAAACAACAACAACAACAACAACATCATCATGTCAGTCCAGACACCGTGCGTCTCCACACAGGACCCAACAGGAGCCTCCTCCCACCTGCCAGGTTCTCGTGCACAGCCTTCATCTCGCTCTCAGCTCGGATAAACGCCTCCTCGATGACCCGGTTCTTCTCCTCCTCCAGGTTCTGCATCTCGGCCTCCAGCTGGCCCTGAGCGCGCTCCATCTCTCCTTCGTAGACGAGGATCTGAGGGAGGAGCGACAGGTGAACAGGTGAGGTCAGGTGAGTTTATGCAGTCCAACACATCCTCAGGTGTTTATGCATCGCTGCTCCCGCCACATGTGAACATCTGTTTCTACTGCTGAAGCACAGAGACTTTCACAAGTTACACGACTGACAACAGGAGCTGTCTGTAGCTAACAGAAGCTAACAGGAGCTATCTGTAGCTAACAGGAGCTAACAGGAGCAATAAGGGGCGATCTGTAGCTCACAGGTGCTAACAGGCGCTAACAGGAGCCAACGGGAGCTATCTGTAGCTAACAGGAGTTATCTGTAGACTGATCTACAACCGATCTGTTCCTACTGCTGAAGCAAACTGAACTTTAGCAGCTACATCACTTCACTGAGCTGCTCTGTTTCATTGCTGTTTCCAACAGAACAGTTCTGGTCCTTGTTCTGGATCTGTGGAACCAGGGTGACGTCCAGCAAACCAGCTTCATTTTCACCAGTTTGTAACAGAACCGCTATCATAACAACAGTTTGGGTAATTTTCAAATACTCAAATGCTATTTTGGTAACTAATGCTGTTGTGTTAGCATGTAGCTTAGCACAGAGGGAAATACCCAGTCATGCTCTTTTACTGTTCAGTCTAAAAGTGTTTCTCATTAGCAAGCTAACATTTGTACCTATGCTAGTTAGCTGCTACAGTTAGCCACCAGAGCACATATAAAAACATTAAATTTTAATGATAAATGACAAAGTGTAGGATGTAGCGCTCTTCAGTCTAAAGCTTCGATATTTAAAGTACCGGCTAACGTTAGCTGGTTCAGTCAGCTAAGCAGCAGTTAGCATGTCCACATATTCAGTAACCTCTGTAAGCTAGAGTCATTGGAGAACACACAGGTGAATCTGAGCACACAGGTGTAACCAGGTTCAGGAAACACACCAGTGGACAAAATCTGCTTCTATGTTAAAACAGTAAAAAACTAAACAAACTAACAAAAAATCACTTTATTCATCAGTAAAAAAAGCAGTTTCATCTCTGTGTGTTCAGAGTCTGTTAGCGTAGCTTAGCACAAAAGCACAAAGACTGAAAGCAGAGGGAAATTGTTAGCGTAGCTTAGCACAAAGACTGAAAGCAGAGGGAAACTGTTAGCATAGCTTAGCACGAAGCCTGAGGGAAACTGTTAGCGTAGCTTAGCACGAAGCCCGGGAGACAGTTACTGGGACGGTTTGTATCACAGACTAGGAGAGCATTACTGGGACAGGGTTTTTTACACTGGGACAGTTACTGGAGCGGGTCGTGTCACAGACTGGGAGATCTCACAGCTTCCAAAGCTTTCCAGTTAAACCAGTTAAACCAGTGATGTCAGAGACTCCAGTTAGATGTATCTCTGCTGAAACGTTCCATATTAGTAAATTTAACTGGTAATACTTATAATATGTAAATGCATGACGTGTGTTCATGCATCTGAATGTACTACAAATAGGTTTTTAAATAATTATATTCCTGGTGTATCTGTATAGAATCTATAAACCTCTTCATGAATGTTCATGTTTGTTTGTGTATTCCATAATTTTAAAAATTAAAAAAATCTTCACGATTCATCCCAACAATATTTTTTAAATTAAATTATTTCTAAAGGCCATTGGAGTCAGTACTGAATTTCTCTCTTTTTGTGCTGAAAAAACATTTTTATTTTCTATTTATTCTACTTAATAGTATGTATGAATTATAAAACAGTAATAAAAACTAAAACTAGTAATAAATATAACCAATAAAGGCCTTGTTTGTGCGTTACTCTGCCTGCGGCTCTGATACCGGGCAGCGGTTGGAGGTTTTTGGTTTAACTGGCAGCTTCAGAGCTCTCGGCCCGTCGGGGGTTAATCTCTGTTTCCTGGATCTCTGTGATGTCACGGGGCAGGTGGGGGGTAAGGGGGCGGGGCCAACCTTGGACAACCTGCGGACCACCTGGCTGTTGCCCCTGCCGACGGCCTTGGACAGCAGGTCGCACAGACGACCTCGATCAGCGAGCAGCTGCAGCCGAGCGCATGCAGAGAGGAGAAGGTGGAGAGTGAAGCTGAAAGTTTGAACCAGACGAGTCCTGGGATCTGAGCAGACCACCTTCAGACTGAGACAACCAGCAGCAGACTGAAGGTTTGGACTGATTCAGGGTGAAACAGCTGAATGAAAGCTGCAGCTCAGCAGAGACAACTACGAGTTCACAGGAGGTCTGACTGAACAAACAAGACTTAGAGAGAGAAAGAAATGGAGAGGAGGTCTTCAGCACTTTCTAACTTTGTTTGTTTTGCACGTCTCTATAACATTCATTATTACTAAAAGAATATCTGAGTTTCTACAACCAGAACCATCGGCACCATGTCCCCGTCCTACAGTCTGCTTCCTGTTTACATTTTACTGGTGTTTCTACATTTCTGTCCTGCTGTGGTTCATAAAGGATCCTCTGGTCCTTCACACATTATCTTATCTTTTGGACTTCAGAAGGTGAAGCAGCTTCATGCAGCCTGTCTGTTGGTTTCACTTCAGTGATGTGTGCAGCAGTCGTGCAGCAGTCGTGCAGCAGTCGTGCAGCAGCGTTACCTGCGTGCGCAGCTGAGCGCAGGTCCTCTGCGACTCGTGCAGCTGCGTCTCCAGTTCCCTCAGCAGCTGCCTCTGGGCCGACAGCTGCTCCTGCAGAGCGCCGTTCTTCACCTGCGCCTCGGCCAGAGCTTTCTGAGCGTCGGCCGACTCCACCTCCACCGTCTGCGTCACAAACTGACAACAACAACTCGTCAGTCTGGACCTCTGGCTGCCTTCAGCGGGTCAGAGGACCGGACTCTGCTCACCTTGACTCTGGGCGGCTGGGCGGCCTGTCTGGCCAGTTCGTCCTCACACTCCTGCAGACGGAGGCCGAGTTTCTGCTCGGCCTCCGTCTGCCTCCGTCGGGCCTCGTCCAGCTGCCTCGTGGCCTCGTCCAGCTGCCGCTGCAGAGCCTCCACCCGGCTGCTCTTCTCCAGCAGCTCTCGCTCCAGCTCAGCCAGCCGCCGCTCCCTCTGCCGGGCCTGGTTCTCCCAGCGGCTCACCTCCCTGCGCAGGGCGTCGGCATCCTGCAGACAGCCACAGGTTACAACACCTGGACACACCTGTATGTTTACACCTGTGTGTGTGTGTGTATACATGTTGTATATGTATGTATCTGTACCTGGCTGTGGGGGCAGTGGCTGCAGCTGCAGGTCTCTGCTGCAGCGTCGAGCTTCTGAAGCTCTGAGCTCCTGCATGACTTCAGCTCCTGCTTCAGATGCTCGTTCTCCACCACCAGCAGCTCCAGCTGCTTCTCCAGGTCTGTCGCCCCCTGCAGGTCAGGAGGACACACGCTCAGAACACCTTCACCGATGCTTCGATTTAATCGTTTTCACCAAGTGTCTCCTGTGGTGCGTCTCCAGAGCGGATCAGAACCAGAGCTGTCTAGAATCAGCCATCGTCTGACTTTATTACCTGCATCCCTCTGACACCTGTCTACACACACCTGAGAATGCTGTCTCTGTGAGGACTAACAGCAATGAACCGTCCCAGTGAGGACATGAAGGACCGTGTTAGAGTCCAGAATCAGGTTCAGGTTCTCAGGAATTCCCTGCTGGTCCTCACAGAGGCAGTAAGCCCAGTGTGTGCCGTATTGGTATTAGTTCCTCAGGAATGTGGTCCAGCAGGGTCTCACCAGCTCAGAGCGAAGTCTCTCCACCTCCTGGGTCTGATCCAACAGCTTCTCCTCCAGCTCCTCCACCTGCCAGCAGCATGACAACACGTTAACACCTCCGATCGCTGAGGTTCTGCTGCACATCTTCACATTTATTCACTTTGAGCAGAAACTGTCAGGTTTGTCGTCTCCTGCAGCAGATCTACAAACCAGGATGAGCCACCTGCTGGTCCACGTGTTCAGCATTACTTAGTTCAGTTTTTTTTAATCTATAACGTCCACAGATCCAAACGGAGCGGGTCGCTGTGGTTTGAAGCTGAACACGTTCCTGCAGAGCATCAACACGTCCGACTGTCATCAGACTGACACTTTCATTACAGCAGCGAAACAAACCTGTCAAAGCGGTTTCACGCGTGACGCTGATTCACGCATCAACCTGACAGCCGACAACGTCCAGACTCAGCTCAGTCACATCTGAACACACACACGTTCAGATCCACCCGGACCAACCTGGACTCATATCATCATCGCTGATGGAGGACAAACGTCTATAAACCCGATTAGGAACCCGAGGAGACGCTTCAGAACTCCAGAGGGTCTGATTTGAGGTTCCTCCAGTTAAACTACAGACATCAGCTGCTCACAGTCGAATAGGAACAGATTCATACTGACATGCTAACATGCTAACGTACTAACATGACACAGAAAACATGAGCACGATAAATGCTCACAGCCCTCCCAGTTAGGGCCGGGATTGGTACAAATACCATGAACCTCAATAATAATAATAATAATAATAATAATAATTTACTCGACTGAACTATAAAAACTGTTCTTTTCTTTTTGCTTCCGTCACATTTCTTGTCACTGTGGCTCATTTTAACAACGTTAGTGTCGGTGGTCATGTTGTGTTTCACTAAATTAACCACAAAGAGACAAACAACAACACAAAAAGACACAAAAGGTGTGACCACACGCCAGCTAACATAAAAACTGGATGTGACTTGTTTCAACCATTAATTGATTATTGATTGTTAACATGATGACTATCTGCACAGGTGTGTGACCTGTCTGTCAGCAGGTGTACAGGTGTACAGGTGTGCTGTCTGTCAGCAGGTGTACAGGTGTGTTTCTGGACTCACCTGTGTGCGCAGCCGAGTAACGAGCTGCTCTTCCTCTGCACAGCTGAGTCGGTGTGAAGGTTCACCTGGCTGAAACACCGTCACACCTGCGAGCACACACTCCTGTTAGCGTCACTGCCAAGTCACACCTGATGAAGCTCCACCTGAGCGGCGGCCTCACCTGACGGCTGCTCCTGCTGCAGCACCTGGACGCCCGTCTTGTCGTGGACGCCGTGTTGCAGCTGCTGCAGCAGCAGGTGACGGGCGACCTCCTCAGAGCGAAAACGAGCCTCAAACTCGCAGACTTTGTCCTGGAGAGTCTGAAAACACAAACGCATCCGTCAAACGCTCGAATCATTCAGTCCGACAGCAGACTTCTAGAAGCTTCATAAACCACACAGCTCGTCTACTGCGACCTCTACCTGTCGGGAGGTGATACGGGGAACAAAGGGAAACAGCTACAGAAAGACAGAAGCAGAAGCTACAGCCAGAGTGAAGGTGTTTACGTTGACAGGAGTCCACCAGCACGACCAGGTGACCTTCTGCAGGTGAGAACAGCATGAAAACAAGATGGAGGACAGACAGTGAGAGAGGAGGACACCTGAACACCTGCTGACCAATCACGGTTTACTTCCTGCTTGTTGCTGGAGCAGAACAGTAACGACATCTGAAAGCTGAACGTTTTAGGGTTTTTCTGCCTCTGAAGGAGAAACACAGCAACTGGATTTAGTTTGAAGTCCGATCTGACATTTTTAAAATCATTTTTTGTACAACACAAAGCGTGAAAGTTCACAACAAGAACTGAGCGGTAAAAACTGACCTGCACTACAGCTAGCTAAGGCTAGCTGTTAGCTAAGGCTAGCTGTTAGCTACGTTTTAGCTAATAGCTGGAATTAAAACATCCACTCTGATGGATCAAAGTTTAAGCTAGAAGATGTTAAAACTACATAAACAGGACAAGATGTAAACCTGAACGCTCTTTGCAGTTGTGTTGCACTCTAAGTCATGTTTTTGTGATCATTTTGTCTGTTTTGGTGATTTTGTTTGTCTTTGGGGTCGGGTTGAGTCTTTAAGGTCCTTTTGCATTTTTCATGGTTCTTTGAATGCACCAGAATTCAAGTTAAAACTTAAACGTGTAAATCTTTAATCACAGTGAAGGAAACACACACTGAACAGTTCTGCTAACAGCTAGCTAGCATAGCTGCGTAGCCTCCAACTCTGGTCATGTGACCTGATGTG